TTAACATCTATGTATTTCCATACCCTTGAAGGCTAGGAGGGCAACTCCTTTATTTATTATGAGACCTTAATTAGAAGCACAGCTAATACCCAGGTTTAGGTGTTTTAGATAATATCTTAATGGTTAAATATTTGACAATATCCTTAGCTTCAGTAAAATCCTTGTCTTTTAAGCTGCCCATCTAGATTTTTAGTTAATTGGCTCAAGTTTGGAACCTGTTATGAATTCTAATGGCAAGATCTTTCAAGTGGAGCCATTATTCTTGGGCAACCAAAGAAAAATTTCATGTAGTTTCTACAAGGGCAGAAGTGGGACTCATGGAAAGCAGAGGTGAGCTGAAACCTGCATCACTAACTCTGACCTGTGTGTATCTAACACTCAGGCAACTACTTAGGCCAGGTATTGGCCACTCCTACCTCTCCACAGTGGGAGACATCTGTATACTGACAACTGAAAGAAAAAGAGAACCAGGCACCTTAGAACTCTTGAGTTCATTCTTCACTGGAACTTATTCTTCAGGATTCTATAACATTTCATGATATGTTGGTCACAGCTTTAATGTTCGCTCTGGTAAAATCTGTCATGATACTTCACAAAAAATTACACTGTACATATATGGTATATACACATTTTCTGTATGTTACATTCCAATGTAAAAACTGGTATACAACATACACTATCTCTCTGAATTTGAGTCACATTTTTAAACCAACAACCAGATGTTTCAAAACAGCCTACTGTGAATGTTTCCTCTTTGTATTTATAAATAGCACCCTGACCTCTTTTCCAACTGAATTTGAGGGCTTCCTATTGGTTCAGTAATTGTCAGTCTCTTTTTCTTATGAAAAGAAAGTACCTCAACAAATGTCTCTTAACTTATTGGTCTATTTGCTTACATTTGCTCATTTAATAAATATTTAAGGAACACTACTTTCACCAAGATAATAGTGGGAAATATTTGCAGTTCAAGATAACACTATCTGTTATCTCATTTGAGAACAGTTCTAACAGCTACAAAGAAAGTGAATATCCTCCTCCAAGAGTTTAAAATAAAGTGGCAGATTAAATATGACAATGAGCAAAGGACAGTCACGTGCATTTGAACAATCAATCCTTTACTGCTCAGTGTCAGGGAAGAAGGAATAGCAAAACAAAACTTTTTTGGAAGAATCTGTTGCATCCAAAGAACACCGAAATCATAATGACATAAAAAATCAAATTTTATGAACCTTATTTTCCTATGGTTTATTTGTAATCACCTAGAGAGACGACATTATGCTTCAGAGTGCTTTGGAACTCTAAATCTCTCAAATCAGCTCCAGGAATATAGCATAACACTGCAGCGATTCTGAACTATGCGAGGAGGGGATCAGTGCAGGAGCTCATGATGAGGGTTTCAAGAGGAGCAGGGAGAAACGTCACTGGTGCAGAGGTCAGTATTCATCTTTTTGTTTTTCATTAGTACGTGTTTGCAGTACATAATGATTTCATTCCTTGTGGGGAGTTGGTACATGTAAATAACACATTTTAACTCTTTTTTTCACATTTATTTGTTTAGTTTATTAGTAGATGTGTGTGGCACAAAATGTTTACATTTCTTCTGGGAAGTTGGTACCTGAACACAACACATCCCAATTCATTTTTTCACCCCCTACTCCTTCCTTCCATCCCTCCTCCTTCCATCTCTTTCTCATAATAAAGAGAAAATGTGGTATTCAAACTCGTGCATCTGATTTTTTTCACTGAATATTATGGTCTCAAAGTACAACCGTTTTCCTGTAAAGAATTCAAGTTTATCTTTCTTTACGGCAAAGCAATACTCCATTATGTGTAAATATCACATTTTCTTTATCTGTTCATCTGCTGATGGGCATATGACCCAGTTCCAAGATTTATCTATTAGGAACCATGCTCCAGAATAGCAAAACCAAACCTGGGTTAAAAAGAGCGAAGTAGGATGCATCAGAATCCCAGACCTGAAGTTATATTACCAAGCTACTGTGATAACAACAGCATGGTACTGGAAAAAATGCAGACAGGAGGATCAATGGAACAGAAAATAAAATGCAGAAACAACCCCAAGTACATCCAACTATTTGATCTTTGACAAAGGGGCTAAAAACACACTGTGGAGGAAAGACAGCCTCTTTAATAAATGGTTTAGGGAAAACTGGCACTCCACAAGCTGAAGATTGAATCTAGACCCATATTCTCACCATGGATCAAAGAACTAAATGTTAAATTAGAAACACTTAACTTGCTGGAACACATCTTAATTCTTTTTGCAAAAGTTCTATCTCCCTTTTCCTATTATCTATCTTTTATTTTGCTCTCTATTTATATTCTTGGTTTCTCACATAAGAGAAGCCATATGCAATATTTAAACTCATGTATCTGACTTCACTTAACATTATGCTCTGAAGGTGCATCTATTTTCCTACAAATGAATCCAATGTACCCTCCTTTTTATTGAAAACAGAAGGAATTCCATGAAGGAGGCACAGCAGAGGGATAAACACCAGCCAGTAGCAAGGAGGCCCTGTAGATCCATGATGGCTCCATGAGTGATGAAAGGTGACACCCGAACTGCAGGCTGGAGGCAACTCTGAAGGGCTCTGCAGAGCAGAGTAAGAAGTCTGTATTTCTTGAAGATACAGGGGAGAAACCTGGATGATCCCTCACCATCACCAACCCCAGAGGTCCAAGTCACTTGATAATCAAAAAGGAAACCACCACTCTCTCTTCCTCTCTTCCACAACTCAAACCATTCCCTCCCCATCCTAAACCAGCAATAACCCTCTGCATTCTGCTTTGGTGAGAGGCATCTTCTCAGCCTCTCTGAGTATTCCCTCACCTATCCATCTCCAGAGGAACTTACAGTATAAGACAAACAATGTTCTTCCCACAACCACTTTTTATCACCAAAGCTACCCAACAAAATAACTACTCCAATCCAGATCAGAGTTCTTTTGTTCCCTCCTCAATCACAAAGAGCTTATGCAGAGTCAAAAGTGTAACAAAATTCCACAAGTCAAGTTTCTAACTAGATAGAATCATGAAAAAAGAATACATACTATTAAGCCAAATGGCTTAACTACTATTAAACTTAATTTGGCCAATACTTAGAAAAAACCCAAAATAATAAACTATAAGGCAAAAAAGATTAAAATGGCATCTCCTAACCTCCCTCTTCACATCTGTCACATTTGGTCAAAGCTAAAAATATATTTCCAACATTAACTTTAAAATTCTCTACCTAATTAATAGTTTACAAAGAATTCCAAAATTTTCCACATTTTACTACGTGCTAAATTTGATCCCAATGAATCAATAAGCAAAGAAGAAGGAGACACACGTTAAAAGAAGCTATTAAAGCGATGACTGTCATTTACATTTAGCATTTTATAGTCACTTTCACCAAACTTTGAGTTGGAAAGAAGTGGGTAAAAAAGTAACAGAAGAAATAAAATGAGAAATTCTTTCTTGGATATCATGAAGTCCCATAACCCAGATTCTGCCACAGGGTTTAAAAACTTGTTTCAAAATGCAAATCTAAAAGTTCCTAAGAAAACTGCAATTCATTATAATCTCAGTTCTATATTTAACCACAGTAACTAAAAGTAGTTGAATCTTAAAAATATTCATTAAATACCTATGAAACTCACTGGGAGGAACTTATGATATTAGAAAAATGATAAATTGTTTTTAAACATACCATCAGCCTCTCACTGCACAGGCAACCCATGCAACATCTGACAGGCTTACAGAAGAAGAAAAAAATACAAACACATCCACACCCACATAAATAAATAAGTTTTAATGAGCCATTTGACTTACCCTCTAGGTACATTTTAATTTAATAAATCTTTGGGTACTGACAAATCACAAATCGAGTCTATATAAAACACTCTTGGTATCAGGCCCCAGCTTAGAGGTGTGGGTTAAATATCTATTTGGAAAGGAGCCAGGGAGATATTTCCATTTTGGGCTCTAGCCTATTTCTATGACCCACTTCTTTCTTTTTTAAAATACTGTTAAACAGTGGAATGTCATGAGACTGTTCCCCACATCTCTCTCTTGAAAGTGTATGAAATCGTGAATAAGAATTTGGAGGGGTTTTTTTCCTTCAAAAAGTTAGCATTCTTTTTTAAACACCCATAACTTCACCTTCCAAGTACTTATGAACAATGTTCCATAAACTCCTGCTGGTGCAGAGTGCTTAAGTGCGGGGAGATCAATACTGAGCTTGTAAGTACAATACTATTATTGGAAATAACAATGACATCCGATTAAATGTACTTTTAAAAATAGCTTATTTTCAAAACCTTTGTTTTAAACTCAAAGGATATAGTCTACTGAACAGGCTACTTCAAGGACAAGCTTGCAAAAAAAAAAAAAAGGAAAGAAAGAAAGAAAAAGAAAGTTACTAGGACCACACAAACTGGCAACAGCCTAAGATGTTATTATTCCACACAAACTGCCTTATCGTTCTCTTGTACTTTCCCTGTAATTATCAAAGGTTTTAGCTCACAACAGAATTTCAGAAAGTCTTCCCCAAATCAAAATAACTCCACATCGCCAGAAGGAGGTGGGAAAAGTGGTTAAGAAAACAAGCCAGAACGAAATAAAACAAAACTTACTGTAATAAATAGGATGACACCCATTTCCCCAAGAGAACTGTCTCCGGAAGTAAAGGTGAAGGATTAATCTGGTAAACTCATTCTCCACAGGTCCCCTTGTAGGGTGCTGGGTTCAAGTAAGTGGAGGCCAGATGATTGCAACTGAAGTTAATTAACAGGCTAGTCCTTTGAAAGTGGTTAACAAGCAGGGTGCAGGGGAGCACTGAGACCAGGACCGCAGCAAAATCATTATCTCTGCTGAGAAAAAAGCCTGGTGCCCAAAACTTGCTTCCTGGGGGTTGGGTGGGGGATCCCAGTTGTCTATTCGGATTGTCACCCGGCCGGGTCAAATCCCAGAAGTGCAGTTTCTGTATCACTTACCCGCTTCTGGTTTCCTTTTAGACGTCCACACGCGGGAGCGAAATCCAAGGGGCAGAAACCAGAACCCAGCACTTTGCGCTCTGGAAATGTACCGGGAAAGTGCCCAGCGGCCCGGCTCGCCGAGAAGGTCCCCGCGGCCGGCCAGCCACGCGCGCCCCGGCCGGGCCGAGAGCTCCGGCGGTGGGGCGGGGCGGGGCCGGGCGGGAGACCGGCGCCGGCGTCCCTCCCGCCCTCCGCTCGGCGCGGGCCTGCTGCGTGCCGGCCCTCGGCTGCCCCTACACGTCTGCAGCCGGGCCACGGCCGCTCGGGCGGCGCTGTTCCTTTGGCCGCCGCACCTGGAGGCGGCGAGCGCGGCCGGGACGGCGCGCAGCTCCGGAAGCGCCGCGCCCTCCCCAGCCCCGGCCCAGGTGCTCCCGCGCCGCCGCTTCCTCCGGGCGCGCGCGGGGGCAGCGCGCACTCAGCGGCGGGGGCGGCTCAGCCGGCCGCCCTGGTTCCGCCGCATAGCTGGGCGACTGACTCAGTGGGCCTCGCCTGACACCCCCGCCACCTGGCGCACGTCGCGGGGAGGCTCCCTGCCCGGCCCGCCCCAGCCGCGCTGACGCAGCCGCCAAGGTGCGTCGTGGGGCGCGAGGCGGCGAGGGCATCCCCGGGCTGTGCTCGCTGACGGGGAACCGAGGGTCCAAGGGACGGAACCTCGCCAACACTGTTAGTGTTACTCAGCCCGGCGTCTCCCAAACTTCAGACTCCAGCCTTCCGCTGGGGAATTGGCTTCAGATGGGCCCGGAAACCAGTATATTTAACAAGACCTTGGTGATTAGGCAGAGCCCGTTACTTAGGATTCTCCCTCACCTCCTGCCTCTGGGGAAGAGGCTAACACCTCCTTTCCAGTTGAGGTATCTGAGGAGCTGAGCACCTTGCCAAGTAGCCAGTGTTTTAAGGGGGTTGGCGGTGAATTTCAACATCGATGTCACACAGCCTCTCCACCTATTTTTGGAAATTGGTCTTTCTTCTCGGTCCTCCTTTGAAGGGAGGGATAACTACGCCTCAAACAGCTGAGATTTGTTAGATCCCAGAAGGACTCCTTCCCTTGGGGGTGGACTTTGATACCTAGCCCTTGGAAGTAATAAGGAAGAAGCCAGAGAAAAAAGGAGATCCTAGAAAATCCTTGTGAACCCCGAATACTAAGAGTCTGCAAAAGCCAACTGTTTGCAAGAGAGCCCATAAGCCAACTACTTATATTTAGTTCTTTATGAGTAAACATTTCTTCACGAACTGCCTGATTCTGTGCGTTAAATGGTGAAATGCACTTACTTACCTTTCCCGTATATCTGTTAACAGAAGTGAAGAAACTAGGGCTAGTGCAGGCCTTATTATGGAAATAGAGTAATTAGTGAAGTCCAGAGAGCCAGTGGGGAAGGCTTCCCATCCAGGTCTTCACGTATTACCAGTGTTCAAACTACTGCTCAAAGAGCACTTTCTTCAGAGACTTTAGCAACTATAATGTGCCACAGAGTCGCCAAATCTCGTTTCTTTTGAACTAAATACTTCATAGCAAGCCTCATTTCCATCAGGCGAGTTTTCTTGACGTCTCCCAAACCTCGAGTTCTTTTCCTTGATTTTCCTATAGCATTTATAATAGAAATTTTATTTATGTAGCTCTTTAATGCCTCCATTTTAGGTCTGTACTCTCGGTGATGGGGCGGGGGGGGTCTGTTTTTCTATCTTCTAGGAGTTCTCACATCTCATTTATTTTGGTCTTTATTAGCCATCTTAAACTCTTCTCTGAACAAGGTAGAGTGTAAATCAACAAAAATCCTTACATGAGTTATGATGGATGTGTCAGAAGGTCAAGCATTGCCTTGTCCCGAAGTTACTTTTCTCAGTGGATTTTATTAACTAATGGGGACTGTAGGCCTTTTTTGTTTGTTTGTTTGTTTTGGTACCAGGGACTGAACTGGGGTCCTTAGCTTGCGAGGCAGACAGTGGAACCACTGAGCTAAATCCCTGGCCCAGGACTGTAGGCCTTTTTGCAATAATATCTTAATTCCTTGATTATCGTTTAGTTGTTGTTTTAAAAAATTGATTGATCGCTATTTGGTAATTTGAAGATACAATGGTTACTAAATACCATGCAATCTCTGGATTTAGTGTTCTCCGAAGAGGAAATAAAGTTCAGAGCCTATAAGCCACGGATGATTTAATAGCATCTCTGGGAAGTGAAAGAAAAATAGTACTCTCCAATTGGTCATAAGTTTATGCTGGGTTTATGAATGTTAATATATGGAGGAAAGTAAAAGATATCTGAATAAAAATGGCAAATCCTACTTTTTCTAATTACTTATTAATCACTAGTATCTACTCAGATACCTAATGTATTTGCTAGATATATGCAAAAACTCCCTGAGTTGAAAGTTTTTCCAATTTCATAAATATAGGCTTAATTGGAATTTAAAGAAGTTAAATAATAAATAGGTAAATTGAACACATCTAGGTTGTATTAGTAGTGAAGAAATTATTTATTTAACAGCCCTCACAGACATTCAGGAAACAAAGTAGACAGGGAAATTGACTTTATGTAAGAATTAAGATAAGATTTGTTCACTGCCAACCAATTGGAGTAGATGTATCCAGAAATTTCCATCTAGGCTGGAATTACTCCAAAGTGACCTGCTCCCATCCTTATTTCCTACATTTTTAGTAAGAGAACAGATAAAGCTGCTTTTCCTGCTTTTGTGCCTTTGGTGTTCCCATCCCCTCTACCCAGAATGCACCCTATTTAGGAAAGCAGCAGTCTGAGAATGGGAATTCCCCTCTCCTCCTCCATGCTCTCTTCTCTCTGGCTTCTCTTTCTCCTTGCCCTTTTTTCCTTATCCATGGAAGTCAGTACCCATTGAGCACTTAAATGCCAGCTGCTCTTCTAAGCACTTTACTTGTAAGAGCTCATTTAATGATCTCAACAGCTCCTTCAAGAGATAGTGTTATCCCTCAATAAGAAAGCTCGAGAAGAGAGCATTTGAAGAAGCCACACAAGTCAAACGCTACAGGATTACAGCATAAGGGAGGGAAAATTCCAGCCCAGTCTTCCCCAGGATGCAAATGTGCACTGAGCTGTCTCAGAGAAAGCAAATTGTGCTGAACCTGGAACAGCCTGCATCAAAATGCAGCCATATCATATAAGCTGTGACATTTTCAATAAATTCATTAATCTAAGCGGACCGTTGTTTCCCATCTTTAAACTAGGAATAGTAATACCTGTGAGAATTTAATGTGATTTTACATCTAAAGCACCTAGAACATAGTAACCCCTCAATGCATCAATGCATCTAGTCTCTTTTTCTGTAATTATTCATCAAGGCTGGATTTAAATCCCATCTCTCTTTTTTAAAAATTCATTACGTTTATTGGTACATTTTAGGTATACATTATGATCACATTCATTGTAGGGAATTTGTACCTGTACATGATATATCTTGGTTCTTATTCTTTTCCCATTCCCCTTCTCCCCCTTCAACCTCTCCACCCATCCCTGTTTACAAAAGCTTCGTTTCCATTTTTGCTTCTTTTCTCATTTTTTCTTTCCCTTCTTTCCTTTCCCCCACCTCCCCTCCCTAGTTCCTGTTACCCTTTGAACATTTCCTTCCTATTTCACTGTCTATTATACATTTTGGTCCTCATTTACACTTTCGGTTTCTCACACCAGAGAAACAATTCAGTATTTATACATGTGTGTCCTGTGCATTTCCCTTAAGAGTATGGTCTCAAGATCTATCCATTTAACCATAAATGTCTCTAGTTTATCATTATGGCTGAGTAGTAATACATTTTTTTTATTTAAAAAACCCATATCTTCTTTATCCAATCACCAGTTGATGGGCATTTGGGCTGTTTCCGAGATTTAGCTATTGCAAACTGTGCCACTATAAATGTGGATGTGTGTATATTGCTGTGGTATGATGCTTTTAATTCTTTCAGGAAGATAACAAGAAGGGGAATAGCTGGGTCAAATGGGACCTCTAGTCCTAGTTCTTTGAGGTATCTCCATATTGATTTCCACAGTGCTTGTACCAGTCTACATTCCCACCCACAGTGGAAAAGAGTTCCTTTTCCCCCACAGCCCCACCAGCATTTGTTATTGGTTAATTTCTTGATAGTAGACATTCTTTCTGGAGTGAGATGGAATCTCAGCATTGCTTTCATTTGCATCTCAGGAATGACCAGTGATGTTGAACCTTTTTCATATGTTTATTTGCTGTTTCTACTTCTTCATCTGAGAAATGTATATTCATTTCAGATGCCCATTTCTGGATTGGGTCTTTCAATTTGGGGGAGTCTGATTTCTTTTTTAGTTCTTTACATATTCTAGACAGTAGTCCTTTGTCTGAGGAACAGCTGGTAAAAAAATGTTTTTTCACATTGTGGGTTGTCCCTTCAGTCTGTTGGTTGTTTCTCTTGCTGTACAAAAGCTTTTTAATAAGATGAGATCCCAGTTGTTGATTCTTTGTGATAGTTCCCATGCAACCAAGGTTTTGTTCTTAAAGTCTTTTCCTACACCATGTGCCAGTGTCTTCAGGAGTTCTGCCTGGACTATCTTCCAGCAGGTTTAGTGTTTCTGTTTTAATATTTAGATCTTTGATCCATTTTGATTTTAGTTTAGTGCATGGTGAGAGATAGGGTCTAGTTTTAATCATCAGCAAGTTGAAACCCAGTTTCACCTTAGACTTTTTCTACATCTCTAATTTCATAGACTCTTTCTGTGTTTCTAATTCCCAGAATTGCTTACTCATAGAATTTAATCTCTCCATTTTCTCCATAAATATCCAATTTATTTCTGCCAAATATAAAACATTAAAGATGTAGATGCAATAGACAAACATCTACTTAAAAATAACTCACCAATTGAGATAAAGAAAATTATACATTTAGAACTACTGCCTTTTGCACTCAGGTTTTAGGAAATAATTTTATTCTAATCTGAATATTTGAACATGCAACTTTGACAGCAATGACTTCATCGGTAGGGTTATCCTTTTAATCATCACCTGCTTCCTTTGCTTTGCCCCCCCCCCATCTCAACTCATCACATCTTCTGTTTTGCTTCAATCTTGTTTCCTCCTTACAATCAAGTTTTTGTCTCAGGTTATGCTTTCTGGGAACTCTGGCTAAAATGAATTTTTTTT